AACGGAGTTGAGGGGTCTCACGATTCTCCTCCTAATTGCCCTCGTGCTGATAAACCCTGTATCACGGGAATTTCAATTCTGTGCTTTTTCTTCTAAAAAAAAGATGACCTCCGCGAGGCAAAGTGCATATTGCTTCCAAACATATTTGCGATACATTCTCTCCTATACATATTCCTCCAAGTGCAAACTCTGCCGCACTCGATTTTGAAACCGGCGTACTGTCGGAGGTGATTTTGTACTTATGAAACGGAGGGAAAACGAAAATAATCTATATAAATGTTATATAGATTATTATATAAATGTTAATATAAAATGTAATGTGAAATGTAATGTAGATCAAAGCACGTATTCGGGGGTTATTGAAGTTGACGATTCTAATGGTATCAGGATCAATACCAACGACCTTAGTTCGCTGGTGTTGATTCTGAAAGCAAGCAGCGAAGTCTCTTCGCACCTCTATTCTGTGGTGTACAGACCCATGACTTTCACTTGTGTCCAGAGTGAGCGCAGCAAGATAATAGAATTTATTGAAAGGAAAAAAATAAAAACAAGGACAGAATAGAATAGATGTCGTATCGACGATAAACAGTTGTCGAGTAAAGACGATGCGACCATTGCTGTAGACTTGAGGCGACGGGGGTCTGGCGGAGAACGACTGGCGGGCCCAATGATCGCGTCACTGAAGATAAGAGGGAGATATCTTCGAGGATTTTTTAGGAAGACCTATTTTGGGAAATTTGCTCGGACAATTTCTGTTTTCTGGCCATTGGTTCTGATATGGGCCCTCTTTCTCCCAACAGCACTGGCTTCAGCTCATCCCATCCTTCTCTCCACTTCTCAGTACTCCAGCGGCCAGTCTCATCACCTTTTCTCCACATCATTGGCTCGCTTCTTTTATTTATTACCGGAATCGCACATTCATAGCCCTCTATCTTGAACACCTCGTCATTCCATTCAAAACTGGCCATATTTTGCGTTCAGTAGAACTGTCGCCGATATCCAACGAGCCTGTACCAAGGCCGAGCTGTATGACGGTATGTAGGTCCTTTCTGTAACGGTGACTTTCCCGCTACGGCTTGACTTTTGTATGGGGAATAAGGGTGCTTCAGGCAGGTGGATCTAAACCCCTGTTTTCGCAGTGCGTTTGTTGAGAGCCTTTCTCCTTCGATATTTAGAAGGCAACCTCATATTCAGATGCGCCTTCAATTTTTACCGCTATTGAAACTCCACCCAGGAATTGCATTTCGTTGTTGGAGGCATCATACCAAGTTTTTCTAATCGATTACTGTGAGGGAGTCAACTCCAAATCCATTATTTTGTGCCCTAGCCAAGTGTCCTCTTGGAATAATGCTTATAATTGATTCTGTGTTGATAAGCGCCCGAACTCTTTCATTCAACATACTCACCGATGTTATCGACTTCTTTCCAACTAATTAGTTGTAGCAGAGCCTTTTTCTACTACCATTCCCATCGCCCTTGCTTGACGCACTAAATCCGAAATCCGTGCCCCTTTCTTGTTGTCCTTCGTTTTGCTATATTCTCGACTATATTATACACCACGAGTCTTCCTTGCGGGCTGTTCCGCACAATATGCCCGAATTCCGAGCACTGAAACGCTTGCGGGTCTCAACGTCTTCTTTCTTTGAATCGGCGTACCCTATCTGATGTTCCAAAGTGTTGGACGGTCTGAACCGATCACTTTCCCAATGGCTCTTGTATGCCTGCACCCTCATTTTCCACGAGCACGTGTTGCGGCCGCTCTCTCACGTTACCCAACAGTATTTGAGCATACTCCAACATCCTTTCTATCATACCACAGTTAGGATTAGCTTTGCAAGCCAGTTTCTCCAACACTACACAGAATTCCGTAGATGACTGATTTCGCCTCAATCTCAAGCTCCTTAATTCACTTGAGGCTCTCATTCTAACGACTGTTGACTCATTCCCTTGCTACCGCTTCGAACACTTTTTCTACCTGCTCTTGGGGCATTGCCAAGAATACATTTTTAGCCTTTTCATCCAGGTGGTCATCAGCCAATATTTCCAATAGTGTCTTGTCACTGTATCCCAATGGCCCATATTTTTTTCGGAATCTTCGTAAAAACTCTTTGAAATTTCCCCCTGGTTTTCCTCGAAACACAAAGGGGTCGGCACAATGCTCGCTTTTAAAAATTTGAGAAAGCTATTCATGTAATTCGCACCTGTTGCGTTTTGCTCCGCCACTGTTTCCCAGTGATCCAAATGCAGTTTCAAGTGCTTCGCATAGGCTTCTCCCGTCACCGCTGGCTCGTTTTTCCGCTCTGACACTTGAGTTGTCATCTGCAATCTTCCATTTTCAGCACTTGACGATTCGTACCCCTCGCATGTTCTGTTGTTTAACTCCCATGTCTTCGTCTTACTTTTCTTCATCGTTTCTCACATCCTTCGCTCGCTTCTCTTGTAGCTTTGGAATCTCTCGCACCTGTAACTTATCTGTATCTAGCTACTGCAAATTTCCGCTAGTAGATCTCCATCCCTTACTACCTGCCTTCAAACTACATGCCTTCAAAAGTCAGTCCTACAAAGATTCAGCTCCCCTCTTTTGTACAGAATCCATTCCAGAATTCAGGTATTATTTCACGACCATTTCCAGCGTCTCCAGCGTCTCCAGCGCGTTCTGAACCTGCTGCTCTCCTGACCTATCTATCAACGATCTATATTTGGAAGCAATTTGCGCCTTTTCCAGGCCACCTTTAATCTTTGGACCTAGGCTCCTTATTGATTCAATGGCTCTCCCAATCTCGACCCTCAGTGCGGTCACTATTTCCTCGCCTGTGCAATTCACCTCAGTGTCTTGGAGGTTCTCCTTGTCCTGTTCCATCCGTTTGGCTCCTTCCTGACCTCGCACAGCAGCTTCGGCTGTGTTTCTGCAATCATCCACTTTTTCCTCCTGTTTGACTGGACTATTTCCACAATTAACACGCTTTTCTCGCTGTTCGTCGATTTCACGATTGATACGCCTTTCTCACTATTCGGCACTTTCATGAACGGGTAAGGGCGAGCACAGCGTTCACTTCAGACGTTTCTGTGGAATAGCTTGGTAGCCCATGTAGTGTGTGATACCCGTGTTCTTCCACCTGTGTCCAGAGTGAACACCGCAAAATAGTATAGTTTACTGAAAGAGAAGAATAAAAACAAAAGCGGAATAAAATTATTGTCGAATAGACGATAAACAGTTGTGCAGTAGAGACGAGGCGACCACTGCTGTAGACTTGAGGCGACGGGGGTTTGGCGGGGAACGACTGGCGGGCCTAATGTCCGCACCACTGAAGATAAAAGAGACCTTACAAGAGCCAACACCTGCCTGATATAGTGAATTTCTGGCCCCTTTGATCTCTGGCGGAAAAAATCCCTCGCGGTCCCCTGCGTGTGATCTTCTCATACTTTCGTGACGAACCTGCCCTGATATGCACAATCATCGCGTGTGAGGTGACCTCGCTTCTCTCCCTGACTGCTGACGTCTCAGCTCTATCGTTCCTCTGACACAGAAGCTATAAGAATTGCATAGTTTGAGGCAACAAATCGAAATGTGAAAAACTAATGCAATGTCAAAATAAAAAGTCCCCCAGATCTCTATGGTGTTGTGAGGATTTCCCTTGAAAGAGAGGACAAAGTCCAATGCGATAATTAGGAACATTTGAGTGCTCCTTGTCTTAACCACAAAAGCATAACCAATGCAAAATGAAAAGTACTTGTAAAGTGCTTTTTGCAATAATATAACTTCAAGTATAGAACTTGCAGCGTTAGCATGTTCAGAGGGTGAATGAAAGGAGAGTAGGGAACATCGTGAAGGGAAACAAATGTGTAAGCAGTGGAAGAGGCGTGGACGCATAATTTGACGTGATATACAATTTAAAGGCACTGTTAACAAAAGAGTAAGGGTACCCTTTTTTGACGGGAATAGATAGAACTACTCTAGAATAAAGCGATAACAACGAAAAAGCGCAAAAAAAAACGAGGAACAAAAAGAATTACAAAGGGACAAAAAAAGAGCTGGAAAGAGGGGGTGGACGAATTTCACATCGAAAAAACTGCGGTTAGGGAGTGTTCGAGAGAGAGTGCACGAAGGCGGCGCAATGTCTGCAATACAGACAACACATTGAAATTAACGGAGTTTCTAAAATAAAAAAACATTTGCATGCAATAATCCTCCCAAAATATGTTAAAGTCTTCAATAAACTAACGAGAATAGTTGAAGAAAGCTACCGTGAAAAATTCATAACAAAAAAACAATAGAAATAACAAACGTAAAATAGAAATAACAGCCGAAAACTAGCTCCCGTACGAGGCGGTCGACCAGCTGACCATTCCTGGCAATTTGCCAACCAGCGTATTGATTTTTCACCAACTTCGCTCCACTGCGAATGTGTTGAAGGACAACTTGAACACGTAGTCAGCCTAACGAGGGGCGGAGGCCTCCCGTCCCCACTGTTCCTGGCCTTATTGTGCCCTATCCAGCCGTTTTATGACCTAATTCCTGCACAAATGTTATCAGAGGGAGCTTAGAATTCTAACCATGTGCATATCTTCGAAACCATTTATTCGTTAACAGTGCCTTTAAGGCTATGCAGCTACATATAAGAGCCTATAGGAAGAGGAAGCAAGGGAGGCCTGGGTATGTGTTGAAGGGATGAAAGGGTTCTGGATAAAGTCGCATCAATTGATGCCATATCATGCTCATTTGGTGCGAAACTGAATGTAGCTGTATTATACAGTTTCACTCACCTGCCTGGGTATGGGTAAGTGGACCTTAATGGTGTTTGATGTCAAAAACGGGATAAGATATTGAAAAACGCGATTGATAATCAGGCAAATTGGGAGATTTGTGTACTAATTGTAAGGTGTATGTTAAGCATTGCAATTTTTCTTTTTTCCCCCTTCTTCCATTTCCGAACTTTACAGCTCTGCCTAGTCAATTTCAACATGAAACTGATCCCTAAAATTTCTCTTGCTATTTTAAGAAACGTGTCTCGTTTTGTCTCGCCACAATGTTGCCACTTATTACGGTGTTGCTAATAATCTCATAATGATACCGGTTCTTGGTGCCTTGTACACGATTCTCACTTACTGGTTTTTCTTATGTACTAATGATAAATGTTTATTTACCCAAGTTTGAGGCGCAAGTCCCGCGTGGCGATTATACGAAAGAAGGGAAGAAGGCAAGCTACCCCCTGCCCCCCCCCCCACCACAGGACAACCGTTTCAAAAGCACAGCTCACGATAAAAATGGTTTCTGAGATTCCCCCATGATATGAGTTCGAGGTTATGCCTCCTACCACAACTGCCGTTGTAAGGTCGAAAACTGTCCTGTATAGGGCACATAAGGGGCCAAAGATTGCATCGCGTGAGTGCCACACCCATAGTGGACGAGTTTCATCGGCGCTGTAGAGGTTGACTATCTCAAGGGACTCCTATGTAGGAAATCCAAACAATTGTCCTGACCCATGGCCACAGTGAAAGATATTTTCGGACAACTGTAGCTGTAGTTAGCTCTTTACGCAGTTGCAGCATGTAAAATCGCTTCCAAAACCCCTTACATGCCATTATTGCCATGGTGTTCTCGCACAACCTGTATTTCCACTACTTTACGAATGCCTAGTTTTTTCCATGTAGGTGGATTTTTTCGCGTCGCCTTTCTTCGCCACCGTTGTACTGCCCTACATCAACGCTTGCACTTTTCAACTTAAAAAGAGTACTTCAAATTATCGGGAACTGTGCCTGTAACCAAGCTCAACAAGAGAGGTTAGCAGTCACTCAATTCAATATTCCTCAAGCGAACGAATGGAGGTACAAGGAGGCAATTCATCTAATACTGGAGTTCCTCTCTCCTCTTTTAACCTGTATGGGAACGGATGCGCACTACTTGGTCAATAGAAATATTTCGGGTGAGAAACATAAAGGTTCACATGGTATTACTAGATGGAATGGAATTCGAAAGCAAGCGCAACACTTCAGTAGGAACCGAACACTCGCTCATGCAGAGTGAGACTGAGTAAAAGCTGTCGCATTTAAGAGAAATAACAATCAGAAATATAATTCACTAAGAATGTTGGATACATGGCGCACATCAACGCAAGCAGCAGTATCGTCTGAATAAACAATATGAGCATGCTCTTCAAAAAAACATGCCGTCTGCCGGTTTTTGGATGATGCATAGTTTACCACGTCGGTTAAAGCCACACTTCACGATATGTTCTAGGAACCCCTTTTTTTTCGAAGAGTGGAAGTATAGTTTGGCAGTTGGTTACCGGTGGGGAAGAAAACGGAAAATCCGCCTACTTCGCCAAAAATAAAGTTTTCTAGAAATAGTGAAAATAGAGGTTGCACAGATTACATGGTATGTAAGTTGCGGACATGTACATGGCGGACGAGTTTTCGGTTGTGCAATCGCGCGCAAAGAGCTGAATACATCAAGCCAGAACTACACAGAATTGCTTTTACTGCCGCCATGGCTCATGACAAGTTGTTTAAACTTCTAACTTAGGAGTATCTTGAAATGGTGCAGCCTCTCCAATGCTGTTGAAGCTCGCCCGCTACAGGTGTGGCATTCACATGGTACAATCTCTGGCCCCTTAATGTGCCTTATATGGCATGTTTCTCGGCCTTATAACGGCAGGTATGGTACAGGGCGGCGTCTCGAATTCATATCATGGGAAGATCTCTGAAATCATTTTTATCGTTTTTATTGTGCCTTTAAGAACATCATTCGCACGTTTCCAAGCACCAGTTACATTCTGGCTTTGTTTTTTAGCTCTGGATGTGGACATGAAATCAGTAAAGGGTACCAGTGACGGGGTAGAGAGACCAAGCGTGCTATGAAAACAAGTAAGGTTGCTGAGGTTCTCTAGAGGGAAGGAATCACTTAACCTGTTGTGCAACTCGTGCATTATCACCAACGAAGTTTTGATACTTTGGTGTAATATGTAAAGTGGGATAAGATCTGGTGCTCAGTCCCAACAATGACTCGGCAGGAAGACTGAGTTTTATAGCAGGAAGCTATGATAACAGGTAATGAATGGCAAGTTATCTAGGAATGAGGGATCACTGATTCCCTTTTGTACTTGTTTTTAGGCCTGGAAATGGTAACAACAAGCACCAAGGCAACAGAAGACAGAAAGCGTGAGCCGTTGTAATCGTTACTCGATGTTTTCGAAGAGCTTAACTAGTCCATTCAACTCATTGTGCGCTCTGGCTTCAAAGCCTTGCACCATGAAGAGAGCTTAGCGCACTTTAACTCGCAACCATCCCTTTCTTTTTGCCAGCTGAAAGAAATTGGCGTTGAGACAAATCTCTTCAGCGCTCTTCTATTACAAGGCGTTTTTCGTTTTCATTTTGTTGATATTTCTACCATTTATCAAGCAGAATTTGAACAGTATTGTGGGAGGTCTACAGCTGGAGTGTCTGAAAAAAGAAGCTATAGCGAAAAGTCATAACCGTAGTTGTTGAACAGTTTTCCGTTGAAATTAGGTTTAGTTCATATTTCTTGTTAACCCATCATTCAGGGAGCTGACCCTGTCTTCCACTCGTTCAAATATTGGACAATTTGGACAGGGATCAATGTGGAGGCGCGCGGATTTGAGGAAAATCTCAAAAGGATTCCCGGCTCGGCTGTTGTCATCTGCAATCATCAGGTATATCGAATTGTAGCCACATAGAAAACCGAAGTTTGCCTAGGTAAAAACTCAAATCTGATAACACCTTCATTTTGCTTCTCAAAATAAGGCCGAACTTTTTTGACAAATTCCGGAAGAGGAGGGAAACTCTTGCCGGGTTGTTGGGAGTCCCTGGTGCTATGGAATACAGATCACTCTCCTTATAAGACTCATGCTTTTGGTCGCGAGGGGAAGGAACGTAATTTGCAGAAATAAAAGAAGTTCAGGAGTGAGAACTGGCGAAGGAATGATGTAAAGCGCAGAACATCGATTCACCAAAGCCACGTGTAGTGGAGAGGGATGATCATCAGAGCTGGAGACATGACGAAGGACAAACACCAAAATGAGCAACTTTCGCAAGAGGCCGTGACTTATGAAAGCCAAAGAGAGATATGAGGAAGGAAAGCTAGCGAAAGATGTGTTTTTGCGCCGTGATCAATCCAGAAATTTGCGATAGAGGGCTACGCACTCCAATTTCCATGAGCTTCAGAAGCTCATGAAGGTGTAATCGCTCCATATGTGTATAAGTACACTTGCTACGAAGGAGCTTGAAATCATGCTTAAAAGTACACATTACATAAAAACATCACAATTTCAATTCGCTGCTCTATTAACCGCTTTTGTTTCTGTTTTATTTTCACGCCGCTACGCATTTCAGCCATACTCAGCAGTTTTGTGATGATTTCCAAAGTAGATTTTCGTGCTATTTAATGTGAATTCGTTAAGAGTGTTGTGGACGTTGTGGTAATGACCCGCGTTTGGCCACCTCGTTGCACCGTTATGATGAAGGAGTCTCTCAAATACATCCCGTTCTTCAACCTAACCAGCATTTTCGTGAGCTATGTGCCCTCATTATTTTTGTTTTCTGTTGAGCAGAACAACCTTTCGCTTTTCATCGTCCTCGTACCTCCACTGTGAGAGCAAAAAGTTTGTTTATAGGCGAATGCGATTTTTGTGAAAGGCTTCAAACGAGGTCAAGTTTCAGGCACTGTCGAGCAATGTGTGAAAAAAATGAAGAAGTATAATTTGAAGGTGAAAGCGGTGACTTTGTCTTTTCCTATTCTTCTTCCATACGACAGTGAACATTTGGTTTTCAAGAGTTCCTCGAGGCTGATCCGTATCACCATAAACTTGTTTTTAGTTTAGTGCTTAACACCAGTATTTTCTAACATTCAATTAATTACTTGTTTGTTTATCTTGTTCTAAAACCACATTGAAAAATCATTGACGAGGCGAAGGTGGTAGTAGTAAGCACACGCGCGGTCTGAAGATTGGTACTCGTCCAATCCAACCAAGTTCAGATCGATACCCGCCCAGTTCAACCAAGCTTTCCATAATTCCGAGGTCGACCAATCGGCCCAAGATTCGTCTTAGTTAGAGGATAAAAGCACTGCTCTTCAAATCGCCTGGTCACAGCAAGTCATTCTACAGGTCACATACGCATTCTGACATCTTTACGATTCTGAATGGAGGTCGAGTGGGGTGGTGCATCCCAGAAGCGGGATTGATATAATCGAAAAACTTAGTCCTTCAGGTTCAGGACACGATAGGGAGTACGTTTGCGCTGCTGTTTTCAAAGCAGTTTTCAGTGCTTTTTATTACAATGAGTCTTATTTTTGAAATCCAATACGAATTTCAAGACTTTTATTCACCTCGATTTCGTCGTAATGAGTCAAAAGACTCTGAATTCCGTTGACTTCTCTGAGAGTATGACTAGAAATGGGATCCGGGAACCTCTCCCCAAAACACGGCGTCGCACACGCCGCACCCGCCGCGTATCGCAGGACTACGGTGGAAGATTGGAGCGCGCAAATTGTGAGGTAGGGAGTCCTTTAATTATTCGAATTGGCTAGCCGCTCTTTTCAATTCCTATGCGGTATTGATCGTCGTTTATATAGGAGGGGTCATTTTAATTAATCAAAAAAGAAAGAGGAAAGAAAAAGAATGAAACGAAAAAGAAACAGCAGAAAAAACGATCAAGTCCAATAAAATGGCATTTGCCGCATGCCGCAAGGGAGAATGCCGCAATCGGGGAGAAGCTCCGTTACCCCTAGGAATGTATGGGTTTCTCTCACAAAAACTTTCTCAAGTGACTCAAACGCACTTGAGTTGTGCGAGGTTTCTAAGTGGAACTATTCGGTAAGGTTACGGCCTAGTGTTTCGTTACTATCGTCTTCTTCAGAGGCCAGGAGCAACTTGAGGAATGCGGCGAATGCGACGACAAATTAAAAGCTCATTTTGGGTGGATATAACAATTCGCCGTCGCCACAGGCGTCTGCCAGTAGGGAATGAGACTTCTAGCTGTCTCCCTGATGCTACTGTCTAAAGCGCTGACTTTGTGTATCTGTATGTCGGTTTGTGTGTCTCTACCTGCGGAAAGTAGGACTGAGAAGGGTCACGTGGGCGCGATGAGGAGGGTATCACGAAATTACTTACTTACATAATTACAATTGGCGTCAGACGTCATCAAACACTCAGATGACCGTTTCCCATTGAATCTCTTATGGTTTTCCTATCACTAAATCAAGCGATTTGAATGTCAATGTTGATGGCTACGTATTTCAACGAACCTTCTACTCTCAGCTTCTTCACTCTAGAAATGTGAGCTCCAAAAGTGGAGCCTAGGTGGAAATTGGGGTAAGGTAGCATTCTGTATGATGTTTGGGAGGGGGAGGGGGGGGGGGGGGGGGGGGGGCNCGGGGGAGGTTTACAGGATGGGAGCACTTATGGCGGGGAGCAGGACTAAACCCCGGGTGTGTGCCGATTCGTGCGATTCTGGTTCGCGCGGCAAATAGCGCGGCGGAATTCGTGAAGGGGCACAAACTTATTGGGGCACAAACTTGAAGTAGAATAGTTGGGTATGGTCAGCTGATCCTGCTAATCCACTCTACTTCAAGTTTGTGCTCCAATAGTAGGCATCAGAGTCGTTCGAATCGTCATGAATTCCGCCGCGCAGTTTGCCGCGCGACCCAGAATCGCACGAATCGTGTGTCCCCCTAAACCTACCCACAGGGACGAGACGTGTGCAAAAATAATTGGGTTAGACTTGAAGCGGATTTCTGGAACCAAGGATGAATAAGTCGGAAATGAACCGAGTACTCAAACAAACACGGACGAACTAAGCAGATCTGCTCATAGCAAGCAGTGCGCATGAAGTATGTTGGCTAATTGTCTTTTTTGGCTGGGAATGAATAACTCCTGTCCTCAATCACCAAAGCCTCGGGATATGAGAAGGGTGCAGGGAACCAAATTCAATATGAAAAAAAGAGGATAGCAGAGGCATCAATCCCACTGGTACTTGTGACAAGGAAGATTACGTTACAATGCTACTGAGTCATAAGCGCAGAGCGGTATAGACTGCAAAAGATTGGTTGGTTATAAATGGGCTTTCATCTGTACTGTTCATTTTGGGATTTCTTCGGAAAATCCAGAGCGCCTCTTATGCCTTTCTCACTGAAATCTCTGCCTTCTGTTAATATATTGCACATCATCTCGAGGTTGTTACGTTAGGCTCCGCAATTTCATGCCTACCAAGCGCCTTCACCAAGCTGCCGCGCCTTATGCTAGCCAGGTGCTCTTTTATTCATGTAGCCAGTTGCCTACCCGTTTCTCCGATTTATGTTGAAGCAGATGTCCGCCATCCCATATGATAGATCGCACCTATCACCGTAGTCACCTGTTTTTTCCGTGAGGATAGATGATGCAGTCCTTTTGGGCCCTGCTTGTCGTAGAGCTTGTTTCAAACCAATAACTGCTCATGTTGTTATTGAGGATATTCACTAATTCTACAACATCTTGCAGCCCAGCGCTGCAAATGCTCCGCTGTATAGCACTGCTTATTATCGAGGATAAAGGGAAGACATAGTGCCGTACGACCATTCACAGCAGCTATCTCTCAAGCTGAACATCATGGTTTTATACGATCAGCTTCATCTGTCAAGACTCCTTTTGCTGTCTTTAAAATGTTGCTGACGATTGCACGTTCTACTGCTTGTGGATGAGATGATGTAGCCCTTTAAACACACAGCAACCTATGTTTACCGTTGTCTGATAGTAATGCCGCTGACTTTTGAAAATTACCTCCCCGCCTATCTGAAGATGTTACAGTCCAAGCATCCCTTGACCAAGTCATTATAGCATTTTGCCTTTCCAAAGATATTGAAATTAGGACATTACTGTAAAGCGAAGCGACGTCGAATGACTTGATTACATTGCTCCTACCGAGGACAAAGACGTGTAATAGGTCCACAAAATGCTTAGTATTGAGGTCAGATGGAACCACGGTCAACAGCTAGCTTGCAATATAAGATTTTCTCAGCTGGTCCCCCCCCCCCCACACAATTAATAATGGGACGAATTTTGAAGGTTTGGTGATGTAAACGGGCCTCGTCAGAGGAGAGTTTATGGGCCTTTATTGGCTTACGCGACAGTGAATTGCGACTTCCCATTTCCGAGGAAGCCTGTTCTCGAGAGGGGTACTGGAAAGTTCAAGCGGGATAGTATCGCCATAACAAACTCTTCAAGTTTACAGAGACTTTCTTGTAGAATAATGAAATCCTGGTCTGAAGCTTTTGCAGAGCTCACGGCGTGTCGTTCTGTATTGAGCTGATCGACAGTATCAAGAAGTTTCTTCAAAACGATGATCGTAAAATATAATGGCCTGCTATACTTTCGCGATACTTTATTGTGTTTGTGGCTATGAGGATGTGACCAATTGTACTGAGCTATCTCTGAAACCCTGCTCGCTCGCGTAAAAAGTTCATAGTTCACAGACAACAGGCAGGCAATAGTTGACATCATCGTCTGGATCTTTCGTTTTATACAGCATTACAGCCGTTCTTAATTTCCACGACGTGAGCTTTTTACATTCCGATAGGTACCGACAAGTTGCTCGTAAAAAAAACTAGTAAGGTTTTTGACAATAACAAGGCTGCTCATATGTTCTGGCTTTTTCCTGCGGGAGCAGGCGCCGTACAAACATTCACCGAGATGATGGCATCTTGAAGTTTGGAAGGGTGATCTGAATGTCCCGTCAGGGCAACAAGGTAGTGTGGTACTCTCCGCAGTTCTGTCGGGTAGTGCGACTGCTCTAACTACTCTCGGCCATTTTGAGCGGAGTTGCTGCTTTTCTCCCTTTCAGACTTCAGTTTATCGCTTCTCTACACTTGTGATTGCCTGCTACAGCTCGCAGACAATCAATCACAGACTGACTTCCGAGCTCGAAAAAGCTCGATTCACATCGCATAGCTCGAGAGTTTCTCACGAGAGACATACTTCTCTTTGCAACTTGTAGGCTCTCTGCGTTCCTGGCACTAACATGGAGACACCGAACAGCAGGTTTGATTCCTCATCGATGTTGTCGCTAACGAATCTTTTCAGAGACTTGCACTGGAAGCGTGTGGCCCAGTCAAAGAAGTCTTTGGGCTTCGTTTTCTGAACTTAGCAGCTCTCTCTCTACGCAATGAGAAACGAAAATTAGCGCGGAAGAGACGATGGTCCGATTCCGTGCAGAACTTTGGAACTACAGCGACGTCAGTCAGGCGAAACTTCCAATCCTTCTCTACTTAAAGCGTTCAAGTACAAAAGAGGTACAAGCGGCAAGATGGGAACCCTGATGGTGCATGTCAGGAATTAATAACAACTGACCGGACTGGTGCGGACCCATCGAAGGAAGGATTCAATGAAACAGCTGCACCTTTCGCACTGGCATTGGAGTCGTGACGATTTCGCGAAGGCTTTGCTCCGCATATCCAAATCCGCAGTCTTCTGAAACGCATAGAAGCATTGGGCGATTCTGAGCTGGTATGGGGAGATAGTGGTTTTGCATAGGCGTAAGAAACGGAGGAAAGGGTGAATGAGGTACTGATTTCGTGCGAAGATTTGAAATGAGAAGAGAGTCGACTGGTAGAATTTAGAATATTAATTACTGAGAAAACAACTATTTCGGATAAACAGGGCAATCCAGCGATTATTGTCTATTCCTCCGGGATCGCCCAGGATTGTCGAGTTCAGTGTATGAACTTCCCCTGAGTAAGAGAAAGCTGAATTGAGGCTGTATCAAGAAGTGAATTATCACGTTGTCGTCACTGTTGTACTCAAACCATGTTACGCCTTTTGAATTTCTTTGACAGCAAAAATTATCTTTCTCCAATGCTTTCAGATATGGATTTTTCCCGAAGGAGCACGGAGTCATAATGATGGTATGCTTCCCTTTAAGAAAGGAGCATTTAACATTGCTGTTCGGGTAGGCACATTGAGATTTCGATGTAGGACTCCAAATCATAATTTTTTCAGGGCGGTTTTCCAATAGTACCAATTGTTCTATCAAATTACCGGCCATTCTACTCGAAATCCGATTGCTATTTCACGAACGACGGCGAAGTGATCGCACAAGTTCTCAATCCGATAAGCACTAAAGAGGTATGAGGTCACAGAACTTATTGCCTATCCATTCACTGAGATTATATCAAGGGCGAAGTTGTCACCCCGTATTTTAAGAGCTCCACCGCGACTCTACACCAACGCTCAGCATGGCCCGTTCTATATGAATACTATACAAGAATGATAAGCATTAATATGGTACCACTTGATTGCAGGTCGATCATTTTGGTGCCGCTTAACATTTCGTTGAGACATGTTCAATAAGATAGGTCACAGATTGGTGACAGAAATATATGGGAGTGGTTCAAGGATTCTGATTAGTTCCGGTGACAACGAAGTAGATGTTTGTGGGAAACTAGTGAGTGCTGGTGCTATAAAATACTATCGAAGCAATAGCAGAGCAATCCATAACACATAGGATGTACTAGCAGTTGTCAAAAGCCTCTCTTATAATTAACGTGGTGATGCGGTAGGACGCTATACCACAGCTTGAACTCAAGCTCTGACTCCATTTTTAATTTGTTGCGCGGTTGCCTTCGATTTATTAGCAATTCTTGCCCATTTATTTTCATTGCATTGGATTTCGTCGTATGCGTTGTCGTTGTATGTATATTCATTCTTACGTTCCCCTTCCACATCTCCGCTTATCTCCGAAACCCAGCAAACGATCCGCTCATTACTATAGCTACATATGATATTATCTTTGGTGAACATAGACCAACTTGAAGGTCCACAGTTTCTCACAATTCCCTTCAACATATGTACGTAGGTGGTATGCGATCATGATGAAGCTGGAATAAGGGCAACGCCTTTGCTACCAAGAGGTTATCACAGAGGTTCAATATGATCGCTTTTTACGTACTCTTCTTCCCACCGTCGATAACTGGTTTGTCGTACATGAAGGATATCAATCACCGAGAGAGTAAAGACAGGAAGAGATGCAAGAGAGCCTTGTAGATAGTTTATATGAAGCGTAAATGCACTGTGCAAGCGTATGGCACACGTTTTATGGAAAAACAAAACGAGTATATGCACCAAGGGAACAACCAGTTGCACCAAGGGACACAGTTGCATAATGTAGAGAAAAACGGTAATGTAACTTTGTGCCCTTACTTAAAATGAGCATTCGAATGTACTCGAGGCGGTATAAATGTTATCCGTCGGGTCGCCTGGCTAATAACGGGCTTCTTCCTTCCTATAATAGAATTTTAAGAATTTCGTAACAAATGATACTATTTCGAACGCGAAATTAGACAGAGGACTAACAGGTGCAAAGGGTACTCAAAACGTGCCGGTGCTTATGCCTACTAAAAATCTTGAAAAAGAGACCCATCGAACGTTCAAGTGGTGGGCAACCAAAGCCTTGAATGGTACTCATAAATGTTGTCGGGTCCTAGTAACACCATTATCAAATGTCTTTGACTATGAAGCTTCAATCCTTTACGGATATATCACATTGGATGGGTATCCAAGATTAATAGCGGTCGGATAAGTTCTGTTGGGAATGATATCGAAGAAGAGAGAGCAAGGAGTGGACCAACTTCCATCTCTTTATGTTTTAGTACCCTTAATCGAGTGGAATAGATCTCTTCTGCCGTCAGTGTTAACATCCTGCCTCCTCTCTCCTTCCAATTTTAAATTTTCCAAGGTCACGGAACAGGAGCTCTGAATTATGGAAAAAAGAGAACATTTATTTCGCGCAAGCCCAGCTCTCTGTGAGCGCAGTCCGGTCTTGCAACCCACCATAAGTGTTTCCATCCTGCCTCCCGTAGTTTTACCAAATTTGGACGCTCTAGGTCCACAGGGACAGGAGTTATGAATTTCCGTGCGAACAAACAGACAAACAGACAGACAGATAGATAGACAGACAGACAGACAGACAGACAGACAACCAGACAGAGAGACGGACAGACAGAGGCGAGTGCTATATATTAGTAAGGATCTTGGATGGCCACTGCGACCTAGTTTCTTCTCATGTGATTCGCATCAAATACTCTCGAAAGGAAACCACATGCCTTTCCTACCGTGAATACTATGATAACGATGGATAGTACCATTATCACAAAACCATGAACTGGAACAAATCGCTTTCGCTTCAGCAGCTTGAGGACACCCAAAGACCTTACTTCGAAACTGCCGCCTTACGAGTTATACCGCCACGAATGTGGCATGACCCGATATGCTCAGCATTAGGGTTGCACTTGCCCCATCACAACGATTTTTTGACTACGGGCATTTCGCATGTGCACGACAGCGGAGTTTCGCGTGGGGGCAGGTCAGGGCTCAGAATCAGAACTGCGAAATTATGTAATGGCTATTCTATTACAGCTCACAGAGGAAGACGTCCCCGAACTTTCACAGAAGGTGCGATCTATGATGCTTGAGGTTTATTACGACATCAGTAAGGAAGCAGCGGAAAAAATGAGAAGAAAACGTCAGCAACTGTCATAATGTGTACATATGTCTTCTTGTGTAAAGAGCAGAAACTTGTTGCGTTAGCTTGTTGGTCGTTCTTTTGGACAGCATGTTTGCAATAAAGGTGAATATATGAAAAGCCCACCGCCGGTCAAAGCGGTAACAATCTGAGGTAAGCTCGAAGGGAAGTGATATGAGAGACACAGCTCGATAATTTTGGGCTATCTAATTTCAGAAGAACCTTGAAAAGTGAAAGTCCCATTGCACAAAAGGGCGAAGATAACGCAAAAAGCCGTTTATAGAAAATTAAAAAGCAGTAAAATTTGGGGTGGGGCGAGAATGTTCCGCTGAAAGCTGCTCGGAAGGGGCTTTAGAACGCGCGCTCATTGCATACAGCCGTCTGCAGTACACTGCCTTCGTGCAAGGGGCGGATCTCTGAGCGAATGATGCAACCTCTACAGCATTTACAACGTTTGCCTACTTCGGATGTACACGTCGGCGGAGCCGGTTCTGGAGACCCTTGTTACGTCCCATTTTGACTGTTTTTCGACCTGAGAGTGTCACTCAGGCTCTTCGTAGAGTCACAGGTTCATACTCGGGAACAATCTCAGGAACCTTTTTAATATGAATTAAGCCTTTAATGCTTGTAAAATATAGTTATGCACTTCGCCACGATAATTACAACCAATGTACTCGTTCCTGAAAATGGCGACTATGTCCATTGCCAAGTAAGATATGACCTGGAGTGAGAACCCAGAAATGGATTATCAATGACTTTGGCACTATATAATTCGCTATGTAGGCGTATACTTGTTTGCGTATATGTGCATATATGTATGTACACTGGTGTGCAAGACTTAGGGACAAGATGGATAATGTTAAATAAAACATTGAGGACTGGGTGGAAATATGAAATTGTGGGATTATATTGCTAGACCTATGACGGTTATGCACAGGAAGTTGGACATCCCTTGGTGGGGGAATATTTCAAATAAAGCGACAAATATGGCCACCCGCACAAATCGAGGCAGCTGATAGGTACGAAAGAAAATTTCTTGTCAATCAGCCAGTAGCTACCAAGTACTGTGGTGTTATCCTTCTATACATCATATCCCGCAGACATCGTCTGGATGCCCTGGCACGAAGAAGGATCATCGAGAAGTTCGAAAAGGGTCGAACCAAAACGAGCGTAGCTCAGGAATCTGTTATCGCTCACAGCGTTGTTTCACGTGCACGGGGAGCATTTCGAACCTTTTATACTGCTGCACGAAGGAGAGGAGGTGGTCACCCACAAACAACTACTTTGAGGTCAGACCGCTACATTGTGCATTAGGCAAGAAGAGATCCACGTCAGTCAGCTTCTTTGATTGTTATGTCATTTAAAAGGATTCCAAAGCAAGCCATCCCACTACAGTGACACGATGACTGCACGGTGTGGGTTTCTTCGCTCGACGACCACTACAAAGGATTCTTTTGTCTCTCGCGTGATGGCGAGACGGTTTCGGGTGGTGCCAGGAGCATGGCTAACGGACCTCTGAGAAATGAGGCCGTTTGCTTTTTTGGATGGGAGCAGATTCAGTCTGAGCAGTGATTCTGGACGCACCCTCATGGCCACAGCTGGGGACACGCACTTCTGTCAGAAAGGTTGTGGAACTTGATCGTTCTGGTGATCGAGGTGTTATGGTTTAGGGAGGCATCATGCTTCGCAACCGTACTAACCTTCAGATTTTTGAGCGTGGCCCCTTGATAGTCGGCGTTACTGTGAAAAGGAACCCCTCCCTAATGTGTATCTTTCCAGGGCTACAGTGAGCCCTAAATTCACTTTATGGATAACAATGCGCGATCGCATCGAACAGCTCAGGTGGAAGAGCTCTTGACACAAGACGTTATCCAGCGAATGTAGTGGCCTGCCCGTTCCCCTGGCCTGAATCCCATCGAGCGCGTGTAGAATGCACTGGGTAGAGGCATTGCAGCACGTTCAAATGCAACACTGACCATCCAGCAGTTGTCAATTGCGTTGAAAGAGGAGTGGAATGTCCACCACAATAACTCATTTCCAACCTTATGGAAAGCATGGGATCGCGTTGCACAGCATTTACTGCTGTCCGTGGTGATCACATACCCTATTCGGAACCGCGTCGCTTTTTTTGAAGTACTAGGTTAAGATGTGAGAAACTATGTGTAATCGGTACCTTTCGATAAAAATACCTTATTTGCTAGCCCAATTTCGATTTTCTACCAGTTACTTCCTGTGCAATGCGTAATGGTCCTCCCTTTGTATGATATAAATTTCATCGAGCTCTGTCGTCTGGCAGAGGTTCAGTGATCGAAAGTTGCTTTCGTCCCTAAGTTTTGCACACCAGTGTATGTACGTGTATGTGTGTATGCATTTGTATGTAAGTGTACGTATTTGTGCATGTGTGTAAGTGTACTTGTGTTTGTGTATGTGTGTATTTATGAGTGTGCACGGGGGTGTATGTGTGCGTTCGTTGGGTGGCCGTGTGTATGACCGGGAAATCATAATCGCCATTCCGCTGTGTAATCACTGCATCCAAATTTCGTAGGAACACGACAAGGAAACACTAATGTTTTCACTTCTCGAACGTAACTTCTTCGAAACACCTACTTTTCTTCCAGTTTTCCACTGCGAATGCCTATCAATGAGTGTAGTGAGGTGTAGTGAGTGAGTTTTTAATCGTTCAAGTGAATTGTGAAATATTTAGTATATTTCACAATATAACATTTTTTAATTCACAACACAATATGTTGGAAAATTTTACATCTTTTTTTTCCAATGACAATGACTTTATGATCTTCAATTCAATCTGTCTGAATTTCCAATTTCTCAACGCAACAACTGGCATAGGAACTGTAGCAATATACCAACTCTGACACTGATACCTTGTCGCATAACCTTTGGCGTCAGTGACCGCTTGACATCGGCGTGGCACGGACTCGATGAGCCTGCCGATGTTCCTCTGTGGATTATTCTCCAACGTCATCTTCAGTTGAGAAAAACCTTTCGCGCTTATTTCGAGCCATAAGGCCTTCACTTCAATTTAAGCTCATTCCATAGGTGCTAGATGGGATGCAGTTCTGAGGACTGCGATGGCCACGGCAGCACAGGAGCGCAGGGGCATTGTTGTCGTGGAACTACTAGGTGAGTAGCTTCGGCTTGTGTTTCTGCTGCAGTGAGACCCGATCGTTCCTTGCTGGTAACACAATGCTTCTGTCAACAAGACAGGACGTTATTTCTGCTGCTCCTGAGTGTTTTTGACTTCAGCAGACCGTGTGTCCTTATTCTTCCAAATCGTTTTTACCCATCTAACTTATACTCCCTTGAATATCGGAACTTGCCTAAACGTTAAGCCTTCGCGGAAGCTGATGGCGTCGACGTTGTCTTGCCCCAAGTTACAGATTTCCGAGTACCTCACCATATCATCAATAATGTAGAAGGTGCATAACTGACCCCATACACTAAGAATCACTCGGAATTCTCAATATGAAACCCACAAGTCAGGAGTCACCTAGCTTATTGGGTTTTCAAACCTTGCAGCGCAAGGTCTGGAGGGTTTGGAATATATCATCAAAGAAGTCAAAAGAAATTCTTTTCGCTAATTTTATACCCCTGTTCTCGAAGGAACTTTGAGAAACTTTTATTCGAATATTCAGTGTATGAATGGTAAAGTGTTCAAAAAGAGTTTGGTAAGATATAATGTTACTGATGCTATCAGCTTTGATCTGATATGGAGGTCAGTTTAGATTCCACAACAGTGGACTCCCATCCTTTCTGTCTCACACCCCGGTAACATTGTGCCCTGCACTGCTAGTAAACTTCTAAATTCATAGTCCGGATATGAAGCTTCATAATACATCTATCAACGTTTTATCTTTCATAGGTATTAACTGTAGCGAGGATGTTATGTGATTTTCTATGCACCATTTCATTTCCTTTCTTGATGTGAATTTTTTCGAGTTACCTGGCTACCTGGTCCGCGAGGTTGTCGACATACTCGTGTGCGAAGACCAGGCAAGTCCCTCTGATTGAGGCACCACTGTCGACTGGTGCAGACAGTGAACCTGGACGTCTCCCGAATACTATAGGTCAGAAGGGTCTCCTTGCTATGTCTGATTTTCAGCTACCTTTAACTGGTATGTCTGGTTGCCAACTACAATTTTCAGCTACCTTTAACTTTTCATAAATATTAAGCTCTTTCTGGCTATTCAGTTTGACTGTTTCTGTGCTAGTTAAGGCGCGTGAAGTGACACGCATGATTAAATAAATAAGTAAATAGATAGATAGATAGATAGATAGATAGATAGATANATAAATAAATAAATGACTAAATAAAGGTTTAGTCACCTAATTTTGAGGTACCCACCAACTGAAGCACCGGAATACGCAGTCTCGAGAAGTTTGGCACAGAGCCAGATGTTCTTTGTCCTCTTCACTAAGCCATGTACTTACTTGAGGGTATTCTGAAAAGTGTGAGTAAGATGGTATCGCTCACGAACTTCCTCTTTTCCCGTTGACAATGACTTTATCTTTATCTTTATTCGGTACGTTATTTAAGACAACGTTTGAAATGTAACAATCAACACAACACAAACAAACAAGACAACACTGAGCGAGAGAACAAGTGAAGGTGGCAACTATGCTTGAAGGATGTGCACTGCTATAGAACGTTTGAATGAAGCCAAAGAGCAGGAGAGCGAGGAAGCTCGGCTGGCCTTCAAAAATGCAAGACCAGCTCTCACTGTAAAGGAATTCCGCCTAATCGTCGTCTTCGGTCTTGGAAAGGAGATTTTGAGTTGATCACCTCTAGTTTTCGACGGTATAAGGGTATAGAAAGAGGAAAAAGCAGCACCACATATACGGTTTAATAGCTTGTGACTCCTCGTAGAATGACCGCTGTTCGTGAAGTATTTGTGCCAACGAAGCATCTTATATAGTGAGCAGGATTACTCTGTTGTCCGTACTTAAATTACACCTTGGGTCTCGATAATATCAAGGCCTTCTCCGAATCGTTAAATTA